GTGCAGTCAGATCCTGTGGCGCGTGCAATTTTCATCTTGCCTGCTTGCCATCCATTTATGGTTGTAACCACGGATCGGTTTGTCGTCATGCTTATGCTCCGTTTGTGCTTGCTGAAAGGCGGAAGCTAGTTGGAAAAGCCGGATTCTCATAGTCCACCTCAAAGGCAACCGCAGCCTGCTTACTATCTGCAATGTATAGCTTATGGTCTGGTGTCCATAGTTACGCCCTAGTCTGAAACGCGATGCTCTGGTTTTGCTGTCGGTGGGATATTCTTGTTGATCTGTGCCTGATGATGCCGTAGTGTGATGTAAGATATGGTTGCTAACTCCATTGTTATTGTGCATCAGGTTGATGTGTGCTGCTCAGATGGAACCTTCGCCAGGGCCGCTGTTCCCAGCGGTGCATCAACTGGTGGGTCATTTTGTTATTATTACATCATCGCTGTTTTCCTTTCAGCCTTATAATCAACTTTTGCCTTGGTTCCTGTCTAGTGAAGGTACACAATGCTCCTGTCATCATTTATTGACTGAATGAAGCTAATCTTGTCTGAATCATCCCTCTTATGTAGGTGTCTATGAAGCTTTGGAGCTGAGGGACGGTGGATCTGACTACTTGGGCAAGGGTGTTTCCAAGGTTTACATTTGTTTCACCGAATTTTATCTTCACAGTCTGTAAATCTATGTTGTGGTACTTGGTGATTTAATGTGGCTGCTGCTTATATATTCACATTCTGTAAATCTATGCCACAATTCTTATAGCTATTTAATATGACCAAACTTATTTTAACATGCTGCTTTCATCCAAGCAATGTTTCCTGCTGCTGTATAACTTGCTATTTCTATTCTATGCCAGGTTTTATAAAAAAAACGGTAATGTTATGATGTGAACTAAAATATGGTTTATTGTTGCTGCTGACTGGAATTTTTTTTTGGGGGGGGGGGGGTTATAAGTCTCATGTTATATATTTTTCCTTACTAATAATAGACCAACTTAACTGCATTTATGGCCGGATGTTTCACTAGAATAACTGCATCTAGTGGTGGTTTCTACTGCAGTTGACATTATATTACCATTTGCATGCATAATTTGGTTCTTGTGATATTTACATGTTTTTGCTGTTCTGTCACAGGCTGTTAACAATGTGAACTCCATTATTGCACCTGCTTTGGTCGGCAAGGTTAGTTTTGTCTTTGCCCCCCTTTCTCTGTTCATGAGATTTGAGAATGATAATTTATTCATTGCTCTTTTCCCTTCTACAGGACCCTACCGCTCAAACTGAGCTCGACAACTTTATGGTTCAGCAGCTTGATGGAACCAAGAATGAGTGGGGTTGGTGCAAGCAAAAGGTATAGCATATGATGAGTATTACCTTTAGAGAGGGGGTACTATTTTCCATTTGCAGATTCCCTTCTAACAGCTTGATTTCTTTTGTAAATTCAGCTTGGTGCTAATGCAATCCTGGCTGTGTCACTAGCTGTTTGCAAAGCTGGAGCCAGCGTCAAGAAGATTCCACTGTACCAGGTATGCAGCATACTAATCTCCTCTGATCATTCTTCATGTGTTTGCTTTTAGCTATCCTGTCTTCTAACATGAAATATTCTTCTCTGCAGCACATTGCCAACCTTGCTGGCAACAAGCAATTGGTTTTGCCTGTTCCTGCATTCAATGTCATCAATGGTGGATCCCATGCTGGAAACAAGCTTGCCATGCAGGCAATGCTCTGAACTAAGATTTCCGCATCTTTTGTCATGTTTTCGCACACATGTTACTTATGCCTATACTTGCATCTTTGCAGGAGTTCATGATCCTTCCTACTGGAGCTGCCTCATTCAAGGAGGCAATGAAGATGGGTGTTGAGGTGTACCACAACTTGAAGGTAATTCTTTCATCTTTATCTTTCTATCTATTTTTTATTTTGTAAAAAATAAATTAACTAAACTTCCATTTTCTGTAACAGTCTGTTATCAAGAAGAAGTATGGCCAGGATGCCACCAATGTTGGAGATGAAGGTGGTTTTGCTCCTAACATTCAGGTATTTCCCTGTTCTTGGAGAAGAAGTATGACAGCAGCTGATGACTGTTATGTTTTGATTTATAAAACTACCGTGTTACTATAAATTGCATCTGGCGTGTAATTTGACTTTTTTTTTAATATTATAGGAGAACAAGGAGGGCCTTGAGCTCTTGAAGACCGCAATTGAGAAGGCTGGATACACCGGCAAGGTCTGTCTTCTTGAATTAATCTGTTGTGCACTTCTCAATGAAGTTTTAAGTTTGTGACTGAAGGAGATTTGTTGGTTTGGGAAATTCTAGGTTGTCATTGGAATGGATGTTGCTGCTTCAGAGTTCTACAATGACAAGGACAAAACCTATGACCTCAACTTCAAGGAAGAGGTAAGCCCCAATGTTTAATTTCTGCAAATAATTTCTTGTCTTTGCAGGGGCATCTTTTAACATTCCCTTCTCTTGCTGTAGAACAACGATGGTTCCCAGAAGATATCTGGAGATAGCCTGAAGAACGTATACAAGTCATTCGTGAGCGAGTACCCCATTGTGTCGATTGAGGACCCATTTGACCAGGATGACTGGGTGCACTATGCTAAGATGACTGAGGAATGTGGAGTGGAAGTTCAGATTGTTGGTGATGACCTTCTAGTCACCAACCCAACTGTGAGTGATTTGCTCTGTTGAGTAGGTGGTCACTTTCATTTTGTTGCACCACTGCAATTGCTTACATCACTTTGTTGTGCAGAGAGTTGCAAAGGCAATCCAGGAGAAGTCATGCAATGCTCTTCTGCTGAAGGTATTATTCTCTTCAACCAGAAGTTGGTTCTTACTCGTTATTTTCCTGTGATGAGTCTAGTGTGATGTCTTGCACATTCTGATTGTTCATTCTTTCCATGTAATAGGTTAACCAAATTGGATCCGTCACTGAGAGTATCGAGGCCGTGAAGATGTCAAAACACGCTGGCTGGGGTGTCATGACCAGCCACAGGAGGTACTTGATAGGAGATACTTATTACACGACTGTTATCCCTTTGTTTCTCTTGTTACCATCTGTATGCTTATTTTACATCCACTGTCTGCAGTGGTGAGACCGAGGACACATTCATTGCTGATTTGGCTGTTGGTTTGTCCACGGTATGATTCTATAATCTGCATAGAACTTGCAACGCTCGCTACCTTCTCCTTTGGATCGATGGCCGACTGACTGACCAATGTTTCTTCATGTGCAACAGGGTCAGATTAAGACCGGGGCTCCCTGTCGCTCGGAGCGTCTTGCCAAGTACAACCAGGCAAGTAACTCTCCTGTTTATTCTTGTTCTGCTGAAGCAATCTTCTGGTATTATGTTGGCCAACAGGACCTTACAATCAAACAAAAGAAATTTATTTGACCCCCATGCTTTATTCTATTGTTCAGTGCCTTGTGTTCATTTTGCATTTGATGCGTCTCATTTGTGTCTGATCTTGATAAGCATTCATTATTTTTTGCGAAAACAAACTAAGAGCTATTTTTCCCCAAATGGAACAGCTTCTGAGGATCGAGGAGGAGCTGGGCGATGCCGCTGTGTACGCCGGCCTCAAGTTCCGCGCACCGGTGGAGCCCTACTAAACGGGGATCTGCATGAGTTTTTGTGAAGAAAATGGGTGTGTTTTAACCTCCGGAATGAACTCTGGTTGAAGCTCTTAGGATTGAGCAATAATGAATGCCGCGCATGTTTTATGTGAACGGAACGGATATGTACCCTCAAACTTGCTCCAATTTTGGTCCTTGTGGATATGTACCTGATTCGGCCTGAACCTTTTGGAAGTGTAATACTAGTTTTTGGCGCATCATCTTCGCCTTTCTTGCGTTAGTTTACTCTCTTTGTTTCAGAATGCATGCTTCTGAGAAGTGTTGACCTGTTTTCATCTTTGCTTGGTATTCTCAAAATCTCTTTTACTCTTAAAGAAACCCGCTTCTGTTGTCACTGATGGGGCGTCCCTAGGGGGCTGAATCCACTGTTTTGACCATTTTTCTAAACTTAGCATGATAAGCATGATGTTTTGTAAAATTTTCATGATCCGACCCTTTTCCTACCGCCCTTGGTTAATGGTGGTAGGATATAACTGCCTACCGCGGAACCGCCCTTGGTTAATGGTGGTAGGATATAACTGCCTACCGCGGACCGCGGTCGATGGTGGCTGACGTGGATCAATAGGTTTAATGCCCCAAAATGGTACTATTGCAACTCTACTGCCATCGAGTGCTTCGTCGGTCCGAAAATACTTATTGGAGAAATGAAAAAAAATGGATGTATCTAAAACCAAAGTGTTCCAAATATATTATTTTCTTTGACAAATATTTTTAAATGGAGGAAGTAATACCCTACAGCGAGTGTCAGATGCTATAGAAGCGCTAGTAGGAGGAGTGCCGTGAGCGTGAGCAGGAGGAGGAGCGTGTTTGCCGTGTAGCAATGCCGCCGTCAGGCGGCATTGTCGACGTGGAAGAGCGCATTCTTCTGGGTTGGGCTGCCGCCACCCTTCATCAACCTCACCGGCAGCAGAAACGACGGGAAGGGGAAGGGCAACGTGCAGGAGTGTGTTCTTTTTTATGTTTTATTAATGTTTAAGTGGATTTTGACTCGCGATTGACCGGTTATTAATGTTTAATTATGTTTAGTTTGGCCGCAATGTTTTGAAATGATTTTTTTGTGGACCCGGGAAAATAGATCCGCCACTTGCTGGGTGCACTGGCCAATATAAACCAAAAGGCAGACACACCCATCCGCTCGGCTGACTCAAATGGGCAAAATATGAGCCTCTCTGGATTGTCGCGTTAGAGTTGATCTTAATACGGACGCACATAGTTTAAAAAAATACCCTACGGTCAAAGTTATCATGGTGTTTCTACCTCAGTTATCAGATGTGCGCTGCGTATATTACCATCTCTTTTACACATAAATTATCGGGTATCTTTTCACATTTGTCTTTCCAATGGTTAAAGTTACCATGATGTTTGTATTTAAATTATCAGGTCTATGGCGTCAATGTTATCGTGCTATTTACAGAAATTACCAGGGGCGGGTTCAACAAATTTATTCCCAATGATCAAAGTTACCACGATGCTTGAAACAAAAAGTTTTTCAGTACTAACATATTAAAGGCAAAAACATGTCAAAAACAGTATTCCCCTTAACTTGTTCAACAATGAGTGTCATAGGTGAGGTGGTTAGTTCCCTTTGTTGATTATTTGCAGACTAGAGATCAAATCCTAATACAAGTATTATTTTTTCCGAAAATCGGAAAGGTGCGTGGAGCCATAATTGACAATTAAAATTAGGAAGGCACGAGCGGATGCGTGTGGCAGTTTCGCAATCTGCCACACGGTTGCCATATACATATTTCGATAAATTTAAATGATTGCAAGTTTCTAAAGGAAAACAATGGTAAATGACAAACGCAATAAACATAATCGATATCTCATATATGTATTTTTTTGAGGGAATCTCATATATGTTTTGTTGAAGTAGCAGGCGCGGAATTAAAATATTAATTCTTATATAGCACTGAGATATCTAATGGCCCTAGTTTTGCTCACACTAATTGTTGTATTTAGATTTTCCAGAATCACTTGGTCAGAGATCATGGAAGCATTGATCTTGAATAATTAAAGAGAAATCCCACCTGACTCAGTAAAGCAAGATACTCGGTATCTATCCTTGAACTTCTGCTGGTAACATTTTCTAGTGCTTGGTTCAAGATTAGGCGCATCATAGTTGAACTTCAAAATGATGTTTAACTCAAACCAGAAATAAGTTCGAGGTGTAAATATTTCTTTAAGCCGAACATTGCCTTTCTTTGCATAATTTTCTGCAAACTACATCTTGAAAAAATTAACGGAACTGCCATGAAACTATTATTATATCATGTCACTTATTTCCGAACGGTGGTAATATTAAACAGATCATACTTTTCATGACGTCCAAGCGTACCGCCAGAAGATATTATGGAAATGACACAATAAAAAATGTTCCAAAGTAATTTGTGATTAAGTAGCTTACCCCATGGCATTTTTAAGACTGTGATTAGTCATAAGAGATAACAATGGCCAACACCCCGATATAATTACTATGGAATCATCAGCGAGCAAACATATGTGTACATTGGAGACAAGACAGTATATTTGTAGGCCTCTAGATGATGGAAGCTAAAGAGAAGACATTGGTTTATGACTTTATTTATCGATTCCGAGATCAAGTTAACCTAAGACAAATATGGGTCGTGCTTGAACAGAAAATAGAAGATGTTGAGTGAACGTGCTTGCCGAGGGCAAATTGTAGGTTTGACTATGACAAAACAGAAGT